TTTCATGTGATATCTTATATTCTAGAATCAGAGACTTACTCACTCCTACCATTCAGTTGTGAAGGGAAGTTAGTAGTTTTCTAATCAAGATGTTTTGTCAGCCATCTATCAATGCTGTCACTTTTGCTAGATGTGAGTGTATCAGTATGACGCTGTGTTTAGTTATGAGGTACCACATTTAAATTTTCTACTGCTGCAGGCATTCAGCGGCATGCACCCAATCTTAGTCTTGTTTTCGGCTAACAGCATAAAACCCCAGATTAACATTCTGACTGAGGGCTGGATTAATAAGAAACATTTCAAAATGCTAAAAGAAAATAAATCTATAAGCTGTCCTTGAAGAAAATCAGTAGAACTATTAGAGTGATTGGAAATCATTGCTTTAAAATGTAAATAAAAACTTTGGTGCCATTATATATATAAAAACTGTGGACGTAACAATCTTGCCAGTATGATATTTGAATACGTCACAACTTCTAGAAAACCTGATTCAAACTTACAGCAAAGCATCCTTATAATTAAACCTAATTATGAAACAATCAGAAATTACTGTTAGCATATTTGGCAATATCTGTCAGGTGATAAAAAGACAGTAGATAAGAATGGCATGGACCTTGTAGTTAGAAATTAAGTCTGATCTTGTAATTGGTCCCACATTACAAATGTTTACACTATCCTCTTTCCTCAAAGATATGCTTAACAAGTAAACATTAGAGATCTGAGTCAATGGCCACTGAAGCAAAAGCTTCACAGGTGAATTCAACATTAGCTGCATGTACTTTTTGGTTTTACTTAAAAGCAAAAGCATCTCCAGTTAGCAGGAAGACTTTAAACCCCTCTTAGCTAAATTTGGTGCAATCTGAAGCACTAATACATAAACAGGAAACATGACGTTATATACTTCAAAAGATAGCAACATAATGAAAACATGATGGTGTCTGGAAAGCATTTGTTGTAAGACAATACATTATTTATACAGGAAATAATTTGAAATAGGTGAACAGAAATAGTGACCTAGCAACCAATATTAAAAGATACGGAAATATCTTGAGGAAAAAAGGTGAAATCGTAGCCTTACCAATGTTGCCAGCAAAATGAGATCTCCAAAATTCATTCAAATTTCCTTAGTACTGAAAAATTCTAACCGGAGTCTCTAATGCTTTGTAGCATTGTTATTTTCTTCTATAGATAAAGTTTCCCTTATTTACTGTATATTTGTTTGCCCAGGCTAACAGTTTTGGAAGAGTTAAAATACTTTACAGTCTTAGCATGTGAAGAAAGCTCTTGTCCTGGTTTTTATCTGGGACAGAGCTAGATTTCTTTTTAGTAGCTGGAGTAGCGCTGTGTTTTGCTTTCAGCCTGGAATTTTTTAAGAGAGAAACACTGAGAACATACCAGTGTTGTCACTGGAAGTGAAGGGCTTGGTGATTTTTTAATCTACAAGTGCAAGATCTAAGGGGGTGAGGAATATTTATATTAATAAGCTAAACTGGCGTTTGGATGTGCCAATAGGATATTGGCTGACCAGAAAGTGAGGGGGGATTCGCACTGGTTTTTTTGCTCAGGCTCTTGCTCTTCTGCGATTGCAGTTTTGTTTCGGGATTGTTGCTCCTCCGGGATCGTTATCTGGGAATGGGCTGGGCTTAGTCGCTGTATGGTGAGCAGTTACACTGTGTATCACTCATCTGCATATTTTACTACTATTATTGTTATCATGACTATTTTAATATCAGTATTTTTTAAGTTTTCTTTTATTTCAATTATCAAATTGTTCTTGTCTCAACCTACAAGTCTCCTTACCCTTGCCCCCAATTCTCCCCCCTATCCCCTGGGGGTGAGGAGTGAGTGAATGGCTGTGTTGGGCTGCTAGCCAAGTGAAACCACCACAGCTCTGTAAACCACATCTCTCAGTTTTCCTAAAATTGCAGAAAGAATTCGTCCCTTTTGATCTGCTGGCAAAGTGCTCAGCCCTCCAGTCTAAGTCTATGGGAGGCATTCAGCACCACTTAGACTAAGTAACTGTAATTTTTTCCCATTAATATTCTGCACTTCTTTAGGTAGCTAGAAATTTCTGGAAACTCTAATTCCCATTAACTTCAGAAAATACTTAGCACTAAATCTAGGGAATAGCAACCCACATAGTAATTTGTATATGTTATGCAGATAGAAGTTGCTGCTGATACAACATCATGTACTTTTTATATGATGCTCTGATATTCATTTTCACATCATGATTAATCCTATAAGATTTTTTTTTTTTAATAATCTGTCACAGTAACAATTTTTACACTCACTTTATGTTGTACTTTGCTCTTGGAAAAGTTAAATTGTCTAGGAGAGTACTTGTTTGTTTTCTGTTGCTTTAATGCAGTTTTTTATTCAGCAAGTAGGTCTGATGTTGCTATGTGTTTGCTGAGCAGAAAGGTATATTTTTCATTAAGGGTGGTGAAAATATTTAATGGAACATTGCTTTGGACTACATCTAGAAGCATAGCCTGCTAAAGCTGTTCACCAGTAGATTATCTTTCTTCCCACATGCATCTGTAGCACAAGATCTGCTTAAGTTTATTAAAGTTTATTTGGCTTATGTCAAAGTCAAGAAATTCAACCTCTACCTTCTCAGTTCAGCCAACTGGTGTTAATGCACAGTAATGCGTTCTTTAGTTAGATAAATCACATTTTTTCATAGCAACCTGATCATACTCTCTAAAGAGAATGTTCAAGGAAGAGTTATTCAAGATTTTTATTCTGTGGCTTTTTTAAAGGGATATGGATCTTCAAGCTTCATTTATAGCATTCTGTTCAAATCCAACTCTGAAGATAAAAATTAATTTTTTCCTATGTCTTTTTTTATGTATTAACCTCTACAATTCCAAGTGTTCTGCAAACATAAGAGTTTAATTTCACAATATGCCATTAAATGTATGGGAATTTAATAAAATATCAATATTTTCCACTAATACTGAGTGCCTAAATCTAGCATCATACTTTTAAATTGTATATTATATAACATATGAAAGCTCAACATAATTTCAGATCCCACTTTAGAGTCTGAAAAAATGAACCTCAAAACAACAAAAATACTAATCCCTAATAAATTTTTAGTTGAATTTTCTATTCTATCTTAATGAGAAAGTTTCTCTGCTAGCAAGGAAAATGTATCTGAACTCAAGTTTGATGATAACCCTTCCTGAAAGGCAGGTTAAAAGTCTTCTCTGCAAGCGGGTATCTGGTTTCCAGGCAGTTTCTAGCCCAATGCTTTGGTCATCCAGCTGACATGCTAAGTGTGAGCTGGCAGCCTGGGACTTGGTTTCCAAGCTCATTATTTTTTAAAAGGATAGGCTCCCAGGATATCCTTCTAGCCTCCAATTTCCATATGAAATAGCCTGTATTTCCAAGATTTTTAGTTTGTTGCTCTGTGACAGCTGGCTGAGAAGATAAGCTGGGACAACCATGGTGCACCAGCTTATGGAAGCCTGAAATTTGGCTGATTCAGAGAAAGAGCACTTACTTTTCCTAGACTCAGTTGTTTCCAAGCACAGGTTGCTAAAACTATTTAGAGAAAAGTATGCTATGTATATTCTTTCAACAAAGGCAAAAACCCCACACATTTTTAGCTTTGTTCTTATAGCTGAATCTTTTGGCTCTAGTGGGTAAATAATGATAATATTAGCAATCTTAATGGAGAGCACCAAAATTTTCAGTGAATGGCAGAGACAGAAGCTTGGGATAAGCAGTCTCCAACTAAGCAGAAAATTTATAAGTAAATGTAAATAGGATTCTTTTAAGTATTACATTTAAATAAATGTTCTGGTTCTTTGTCCCATCTGGAGTTTATATGGTACCATTTCAATAAACCTGCGATATTCTGGGTGGGGAAAAAAACCTGCCAACAGCAACTTTTCATTCACTTTCCACTTCTCAAATCATAAGATCAACATAGAGCCCGTAGTGTCATTCTTGTATCACTTACCACTATGTCAAGGGTAAATTCTGAAAGCAATGTTTTCTTCCCGTTGTCTTCTGCTTAGAAGAGCTCTTCTGTTTGTGCTGAAATGATCTGGAATTCTGCCAAAGCCTTCAGGATAAGCATATTTCAGTTTGGCAGTGAATTCCCAGGCAAAAGAATAAACAACTACAGACAACATCAAGAGAAAGTTATTTATAAATCCAGATACAAAATCTATGGAAACCATTGGCATGACTGGCTGGGTGGATCATGGGAGAGCAGTAGATGTTGTCTACCTTGACTTCAGCAAGGCTTTTGATACTGTCTCCCATAACATCCTCATAGGTAAGCTTAGTAAGTGTGGGTTAGATGAGGGGACAGTGAGGCGGGTGAAGAACAGTCTCAATGGCAGAGCTCAGAGAGTTTTAATCAGCAGTACAGAGTCTAGTTGGAGGCCTGTGGTTAGTGGTGTTCCCCAAGGGTCAGTACCTGGTCCAGTCCTATTCAATATATTTACCAGTGACTTGGATGAAGGGACTGAGTGTACCCTCAGCAAGTTTGCTGATGACACTAAACTGCCATCCAGCGAGATCTGGACAGGCTGGAGAGCTGGGTGCAGAGGAACCTTATGAAGTTCAGTAAGGGCAAGTGTAGGGTCCTGCACCTGGGGAGGAATAACCCCAGGCACCAGTACAGGCTGGGGGTCGACCTACTGGAAAGCAGCCCTGCAAAGAAGGACCTGGGGGTCCTGGTGGATGATCTGTTGACCATGAGCCAACAATGTGCCCTTGTGGCCAAGAAGGCCAATAGTATCCTGGGGTGCATTGAGACCGTGACCAGCAGGTTGAGGGAGGTGATCCTCCCCCTCTACTCTGTCCCCATGAGAGCCAGATCTGGAGTACTGTGTCCAGTTCTGGGCTCCCCAGTTCAAGATAGGGAACTTCTGGAGAGAGGCCAGTGGAGGGCTACAGAGATGATTAAGGGGCTGGAGCATCTTTCTTATGAGGAAAGATTGAAAGAGCTGGGTCTGTTTAGCCTAGAAAAGAGAAGAATGAGAGGGTACCTTGTCAATGTTTATAAATATCTAAAGGTCAGGAAGATGGGGCCAGACTTTTCAGTGGTGGCCAGTGGAAGGACAAGGGGCAGTGAGCACAAGCTGGAACACAGGAGGTTCTGCTTAAAGATGAGGAAAGACTTCTTTCCTGTGAGGGTGACAGAGCACTGGAACAGGCTGCCCAGAGAGGTTGTGGAGTCTCCTTCTCTGCAGATGTTCAAAACTCGCCTGGATGCAGTCCTGTGCAACTTGCTCTAGGAGAACCTGCTTTGGCAGGGCGGTTGGACTAGATGATCTTTCGAGGTCCCTTCCAATCCCTAACATTCTGTGATTCTGTGATTTGCTCAAAATAAATGCATAAAACAGTTTGATGCTCACTTTGGATTAATAATTAAATTCTAAATCATGTAAAACTACCAACATCTTTTCTTACTGGTTGCAGTAGGAGCTCTTATTTAATCCTCTCTGAATAATCTCAGAATTCCAAAATATAATCTCAAACATACACATACGTATGTATACATGAATGCATATGTATTTATATACCTACACACATGCATGTATATGTATACGTTTATAGCTTTCTGTAGCTGTGGACATGAATAACTAGACCAATATATGTAGTAGTTATTTTTTAAGAATGAATAAATGCTATATCAATGTATTTTGTGACCTTCTTTGTAGAAACTAGAATGGTTGGGACACATTCAGCTGAGTTATAATTGAAGCAACTAAAAAAAAAAAAAAAAAGAATATATATTCTATGCTAAAATGATTAATTCAAAACATGTAGTTCTGATAGGTTCCATTGTCTTTGAAGAACAGAGGAGGGTTCTATCAAAAACCTAAAATAACCTCCCTTTGTTTTAATTAAAATATGAACCAAGACAATGGATCATTGCCTAATTTTCTGATTTGATGGCAGAGAAGAATGTGGCATCAATAGTGCCTGAGAACTGTCTAGGTCACTGTCCAGCACCACTTCTTTTACTGCAGAGCATGTCTCTCAGTTTAGGAAAGACAACCCAGTTGTGTTCAGACAGGCTCTTAGAAGTTAAGTTTAGTTAAGTGCTAGCCAGCAGATTCAAAAAGAATCACTTTAAAAGTCAAGTTAAAGTCATGGAAGCTTGAAATACAAATGGAAAAAAAAAACCAAAAAAAACCAAAAAAAACCACAGGACTGGAAAAGTTAAGTGGTTATGTAAGGAAATGGAATTAAATTAAATATGGAAGCTAAATAAATAAATGTGAGTTTTGAAATTTATTAGTAATCATATTATTTCTGCTGATTTTTGAGAGGGACCATCTATTTAAAACTAAATCAAAGCTTAAAGTTATGATTATTTTAATTTTGTATTAATTCTGAGTCTGTGTGATTGGAAGACTCCAAAGAAATGAGATTATAAAAATATTAGGTCATGGTAATTAGACTCAAAGACAGATTTTTTTTTAAAAAGAAAGAAACAGTAAGAAAATATCTTTAAGTTAAGCTTTTTCATTTTCAGGTTAGAAATGAGTGTCTTATTTCTGATATACAACAGTGAATTTTCGTCTAGAAAGATCTAGAAATTAATTATATTTAAAATGTTCCACTAAGGCTGCTCATTAATATATTGAGAGCAGAAGTGACAGAAAACAGCAAAAGAAAAACTAATAATTGCTTTTTTATATTTATTTTACAGGCAATGTGTTTGTTGTAAGCCTGGCAGTTGCAGACTTGGTTGTAGCAATCTACCCGTATCCACTGGTCCTCACATCAGTATTTCACAACGGATGGAATCTGGGATACCTTCACTGCCAGATTAGTGGCTTCTTGATGGGCCTAAGCGTCATTGGATCAATCTTCAATATTACAGGCATCGCTATCAATCGGTACTGCTATATCTGCCACAGTCTCAAATATGACAAGCTGTACAGCGACAAGAATTTGTTGTGTTATGTTGCTCTTATCTGGGTCCTAACGTTTGTTGCTATTGTGCCCAACCTGTTTGTGGGATCGCTACAGTACGACCCCAGGATTTACTCATGTACATTTGCACAATCTGTGAGCTCAGCATATACAATAGCAGTTGTGTTTTTCCATTTCCTGCTTCCCATAGCTGTAGTTACTTTCTGTTACTTGAGAATATGGATCCTTGTTATTCAGGTAAGACGAAGGGTTAAACCAGATAACAACCCCAGACTGAAACCACATGACTTCAGAAATTTCGTAACCATGTTTGTGGTATTTGTACTGTTTGCAGTTTGCTGGGCTCCTTTGAACTTTATAGGCCTTGCTGTGGCTGTCAACCCAGAAAACACAATTCCTAGGATTCCAGAGTGGTTGTTTGTATCTAGTTATTACATGGCATATTTCAACAGCTGCCTTAATGCTATCATATATGGACTTCTGAACCAGAACTTCAGAAGAGAATACAAGAGAATTATTGTCAATTTTTGTACAGCAAAAGTTTTTTTCCAGGACAGTTCTAATGATGCGGGAGACAGGATGAAAAGCAAACCTTCTCCGTTGATTACAAACAACAACCAAGTGAAGGTGGACTCTGTCTGAAAATGGGAATCTTATTATTGTTACTCAACAGCATCCAAATAAAGTATCTTTTTTATTAGACCTACTGTTAAATATTATAGTGAAATATCTCTTCTACACTGAAAGCACTTTGATCAAATTCCTTGCACGGTATTTGGGAACTCAAGTTACAGAGCCTTGTCATACAGATCCTATTATACAATGGTATATCTCTCATATAACAGCACAATGATATCCTTGAGGGAATTACAAATTTATGCATGCATACTTTTTTTTTTTTCCCCCCTTAAATGGAGATAAAGAACTAGAGAGATTGAAGTATCCATATTGCCTGGCTCAATAAAATAAATCACAAAACTATTCCTACCACTTTCTTCCTGCTTCTTCTGGCCAGATTATGGTCCTGATTCTAAAACCTCTGAGGACTTTTTTTAAAAGATTAAACTGGACCATTATGAAATATATTAGGAAATGTGAAGTCAGAAATCAAAGTAATTGAAAATTCATTAGAATTTTTGATAAGTACCTCTACCTATGTTGCTTTGTTCCTAACATGGACATGATTGTTCATTTTTTGGAGATTAAACCTCACCAACCCTCCTAGGAATAGCATTCTCAATTGACTTCTCAATTTTAAAATAGCTTTTAGGAGGAGAAATATACCAAACTGATTATCTTCAAAGCTACAGGGGCAGGAGAATAAACAGTAAGGAAGGAAAAGAGCCATGATTCATCAGCTCAAGCCATTTGGGCATGAAAAAAGCTGTAGGAGGGTTGGGAAGAGAAATATAAACCACCATTTTTTTCTGAAAAGACAGTAATTCATGAAATCGGGGAGTACCCCATAGGAGTTTCTGGGGAGAACCCTCCTAGAAACATAAGTGAGGAAGGACAGTTATTTCTCACCTGTGTACACTAAAGAATTTCTAAACCTGTGTGAGAGGAAGATTAATGCATTTAAGAGGAATGGTGGGTAAGGATGACAATTTTATGTGGTTAGTGAGATCTTAACCTCATAAAACCCTGGGAAATGAGAAATATTTACAGGATGAGCATTTAACATCTTTCTCAGCTTGATATCCTGAGAGTAGCCTGAGACTATAGGTTATTTTGTAATCTTCCACAGATAAGCTTTTCAAAATAATAATTAGGTGTTTACCACAATGATGAACATAGTGTAATAACCTAGAACAATTAAACACCTTTAAATAATAATTGGAAAAGAGAAGATGCTACTCATGATCCTGGTACAAGGAGGAACATATGACTGTCAGGACAGGACCTGCTACGTGGACTGTCCGTAGGCAGCAGGCACCTCTTCAGTGAGGGGAAGCATACGGTGAAGTGAGGAAGAACAGCCAGACAGGCTGTTTGATGCAACAATTAAGCTCTGCTTATAATGAAGTCCTCTGGTAGAGAAAAGCAATTCACAGCAACAGGATTCACCTTCAAATTGACCTTAAAAAGGAGCATTTAGTTCTGGAAATATGCTCCAACTGTCATACCTTTTAATTCTGAAGTGTTCATACCTGCAATGATGTTCAAGTACCCTTGAGATTTTCCAAGCCAATTCCAATCATTTCAACTGGACTCCGAGTTTCTGAATAGCCATCAGACTTCTGTTAATCTATGATAAAATGTGGACTTTACCTAAGAAGTTCATTTAGATTATTACTTCCTGTACTGGAGATTTTCTTGAGCTTATATGACTTGGAAACTGAGTTACACTATGTCATATAAGTCCTTAAACTGCATACAAATCTAACAGCATTTCATCTAGATTAGTGTACCCTTGACTTAGTAATGCACTGAAAGGGAATAAATTCATATTTACTTAAAAACTCCACTGACACTTCATCAGCTGACCGGTTTCTTACCTTAAAAATAGGTGCCTCGTGTCAAGTTAACAATGGAACTAGTGAACAACAGTGTAAAACTCTGGAGATGAACTAGCAAGTCAATGCATTGCCGAGGTGCTTGACTCATCTTTGTTTACATTTGCCACTCAGAACCACTGTGTAAATAACCAGCAATCTTCTAGTGTGGTATCATCATATGATGCAGTATGATACAACATGATTAACAGCATAAAGTATATCACAGCTTTCTTCACTGTGATTTCATCCTTGGAGGATGTTAGCTCTGTAATTTTATTGCTTTGTGTGTAGTGTTTTCAGAATAGCAAGGGAGGCATGACCACCTTATAAGAAGTTTTTCATGGAAGAAAAAACACTTTAAATTCTTACAAAACTTGCCTTATTTAAAGCCTATTTTCAATGAAAATAATGTCTTATGATGCATCTAATAAAGTAGCATAAAGATAGTTTAAGTAGTTTAATCATTAGTAAATTTAGAATTCTCAAAGATCTTTCATTTTCCATTTCCAACAGAAAATGTATGTTTATCATGTCTACGTATTTATGAGCTGGTTCAAGATACTGTATCCACTATTGTGGGTTATCTGGGGAATTAAAGTCCCCTGTAATTCACAAGTGCTAAAATATAGTTTTGATGATAAGGAAAATGGTTTGCTATATGCAATAATACATATTATACCAAAGGTATATATTTTATTGAATAGACCTGTAATAAAGATGGAGAGCATTTTTCAGATCTGGTATTTTGAAACATTTGTATTAAATCTAGATCACAGAAATGTGCATGTTGGTGAAGTAATGAGCTGCTAAAAATAGCAATAATTTTAAGAAATTAATCTCTTGTTCTTCTTTGGTGGGAGGGAAAAGTGTTAGACTAGAATTTAGTTTAAATTAATATGGATGAAAAGTTAGGGAAATATCTTCTGCCCTCTTCAAATTAATTTTGCATTTACTGCTATTCAGAAGTACGTTTTAGGTAAGGTTTGCAGAACCACTCACTGCAAAAGTGAAAGAATAATGATGTTTAACTCTTTGCTCTGCAGTAATTTATTTTAATCAGATTCTGTTGCTTCAAAGGAGTCAAAGTGATTCATGTGGGACAATCAGCAGCCTTGTCAGCTGTTCATTGACAAAAGGCATGACAATATAAGTCAGCACCTCACAAGATCAGACTTATGGTCATCATAAAAATGACTGTTGAAAATAATTGTGAATTCTGTCTATTCTCTGGAGATGGAATTAGAAATTTATCCAAAATTAGTTGCTTCTGTGCAAGTGGATAAGCCATGACATTTTTTTCTTTTTTTTTTTTCATTCCAAGTCATTAAATTTTCCCCTGTTTGAAAGGCTAGTGTAGCACAAATGCATTATTTAGAGTTGTATCTCCATATACAGTTTTATATCATGTACTTGTCCTATAGCAGTCATCAGCCCTGAATGGATTTAATTCTAAAACATGAGTCTTGGCAGTCTGCCACACCTGCAGGGACACATCCCTGTCCTTCTTTCTATCCATTTCTGGTCTGAGCCCCAATGATGCCAAAGGGCCTCTATGAAGGAGAAGTGCGACCCCTGTATGCAACACACTGAAGACTTACAGCCTAATTGACCCCAGCCTTATCCTACAAGAATTTCTTTCTTATATCACGATCTTGTTTGTGTTGACTATCTGAATAGGATCTTGTATCAACATATCTTGAACCCTTACAGATAGATAGTTTTACTGGTTGTCATCTTCATTGCAAATTTCATGTTAACAAGGAAGTTTGGCTTTATTTCTTATTTACCAGCAAAGAGAATTTTAATGACTATATTAATATAAATTAACAGGGTGTTTATTGTAGTTAAACTGTAACTGAATGCAACAGTGTAATTTCATTTGGAATAGCCCACTTAAGAGAGCTTTGCACATTTTCTCCTTCCACTGGGCTATTGGAAGTGCATAGATATGAAGCAAATATATGTTATTTCAATAAGCATAATATATAACAATGATATGACTATTTTTCTTTTTCTTATTATTTGTTTTAGAAAGTAAGTCTTTGAATCATCCATAATAAACATACTATTGTAATCAATCTGTATTGCAGTGTATAGTGCATCCTTCTGTAATCAGTTAATACCACACCCTTTTCTTCTTTTGGATCACTTTTGAAATGATATCATGTTAAATCCGATTAATTATGACATACTAAAGGGAACTGTTTTTTCTCTTAAACTGCACTGAAAAAACAATCATAAAAAAACCTCCTTAAAATATAATGCACAAGTATGTATGTATATGTGGTCACTAAAATTTAAAATAGTATCTCAGAAATTCTATTTGAACATCCTGTTCACATACTGTAGAAATGCAGATGGACTGTTATTTTAATTTTTTTCTAATAACTGCACTTTCTAAGTATCATTAATACAGTTTACAAATAATTAAGAACTACAAGTGTCTGTCATCTTGTCACTGAGGTTTGGGAAATCACATGTACTAAAGCTGAAGTTCTTGAAAGAAAAAATATTCAAGTAGTGACCTGGCTTATAGCCCATGTACTGTATCTCCATTTTTTGCCTGTGTTAAGTAAGAATTCCATTATGTGGTTTTATGAATTTATTAATTAAAAATATTATTCCTACCTCAAATATGTGTCTGAGAGATTGCAATAAAAATAGGGTGAGATAGTGAGAAAAGACTCACAGTACAAGTCAATAGCCTTTAAAATTTTTAATAGGAAAAAAAAAGCAAATTCAGCAAAGAAGTACATATATTAATAATGGTCACACAAGATATTTTCCCAGTTCCATAAAATGCTCATCACCCAAACCATCCCTATTACTAAACACTGGCCAAAGCATGAATATTTTGAGAAGCATGTTATTAATCAATGTATACAATGATTATTCCAAAAGTTACAACCAAACAGTATTTGAGACACTGTTTAATTTTCAGCTCACATAACGCAGCACAGCTTCACTGATTCAAGTCAGCTGAGGATTTCGGCATATTAGATTTCATAAATCCAGAAATTAGTTATTTTACACTATTGAACAAGCAATATATGTTTAATTTGTTAGGAACTCATCAGTTGCCAGCTGTCCAGGTTGTGGGAGAATATGAATTTGCCTGCTAAATGTCTGCAAAATTAACCTCATCC